CCAGAAACAAAAGAGTACATAATTGTTATGCAATATGCTAACAATGGTAGTCTTTTGTCTTATTTGGATCAAAATATAAACGAATTGACGTGGGGAATGAAATTACTGCGTTTGACTGCTATTGCAAAATATCTGGATGATATTCATAATATGGGATTAGTGCATTGTGATATTCATGGCGGAAACATAGTTTTGCATGATGGGGCATACCCATTCATATGCGATCTTGGTCTTTCTCAATCGGTGAATTCACGTCAACAAAATTCAACCATTCGAGGCGTTTTGCCTTTTATTGCACCGGAAGTCTTCCATACTTGCAAATTTACTCAGAAATCAGATGTGTATTCTTTTGGTATCGTTATGTATTTGATTGCTACTGGTGAACCACCTTTTAGAGATAGACAGTTCGATAGAGATTTAGCATGCAACATTGTGGGCGGACTACGACCATCGATGCCTGACTCCGCACCAGAGGAATACAAGAAACTTGCCGAGCAGTGTTGTGATGCTGATCCTGACAAGCGTCCAGAGGCATGGAGACTTTGGCATGATATTGGCAATCTTTTGAAAGAGATTGGCAAGGACAATTCTGTCAGTAACGCATGGAATACTATCTATCATAATGATGTAAAACCCTTATCACGTCTCGAGAAGGAGAGTAAATATTCTAGTACGCTCTTACCCACTGGAGGTCTGTCTAAACCAAGAAATAATTCTCATCAGTCAGAGGTAGAGTTAGGGGAGGTTGACGAGGAATAATATGTAGTAAGGGAGATAGTTTGGATTTAGTGGTGGTTACAAAGACAACGATTGGTTCTGTTCACATAACAAAGTCAATCTATATTAGTATTAACATCATCCACTGCTTATGATTTAGCGACTCAAACACTGAATAAATTTGTTATTTACAGTTTATTTTATTCAAGGGTTTACTCCTCTTCTAATTAAATTAATTAAGTATGTCAATACGGGTTGAGTTAAAAAGATACCGAAATAAAATGCACGTTTACTGTTAGCTGCCTTTGCCCGGGGTAGATCATTTGAATATGTACGGAGAGTACATGATTTAAAGGTTATGAAACTGGTAATGAGTTCGTTCCTGAATAATATGCATCATCCAACCGGTGCTGAAATTGACAACAAAGCTTCACCGTCCAGCTCGAATGTAGACGCGTGCTTCCTGACATTGTTTTCATACTCCAAAAATGACCCGTGCAGTCGGCCAATGAGGGCAAGATTATCTTGCTCAACTCTTCACCGTGATTGGAAAATTAAAATGCGATTGCCACTTTGTGACTAGATCCTGGAGATGCGATAAAAGCAGAGCCTATGCGGACTGTTAAGACTGATTTCTAAATCCATCTATAATCATCCCAATTGTTGATCAAATCTGTCGTATTTGCATAGGTGAGTTATCAACTACGTCTGCTTCCATCACTTCTGTCGTATTGGTAAAGTACCACTATTAAATTTATTAACCGATATAAGAATATTATTTATTAAAATACATCTGCTATACTAATGCTAATGCTAATGCTAATGCTATTTATTCTATATACTTACCTCAGACATAGAATATAACTGAGGCATAACTGTACACTATTCAAGAAGTTGTCTATCAAATGGTTGTTTTGGTTTGTACACATTGAAAAATAAAACCGCGTTTCATTCAAACGATGCTTTCGTGCCCTCGCTTTTAATTAATTTAAATTTTTAATTCTAAATTGTACAGTTAAATATAAGAACTAGTTGACAAAAAGAAAAATAGCGGCGTGTCCCATTTTATAACTTTAACTTGCTCAAATCTTGCCATGAATAAATTCATGCTATTAGTTTTTTTATACAATATAACTCCCATTTTTCTTCACTACACCCCAACGATTAAGCGTTTTAAATAACTTGGATAGAGGCTTAATCTAAGGAGGGTGGGGAGGGAGAATTAGGATTAATAATTTTACAGAAAACGTATAACAATTTGCGGTATGGCTGTTAAATTCTCACCTCGGTAATTTCGTCGCCAAACATTCGTAAGAACGCATCATAAGTATTCCAATACAATAATTCAAAAACCTCGTGTCTGGACTTCTCAAACATTGTAATCTCAAACCTTCCTGCCCCTACTATAGCCTTTGCTTCCGCTAACGTCGGCCCATGGATATTAATTGCCAATTCAGAATCTTGATCAAAGAACATGTAATAAAATCTCATGTATTCTTCATACAGCTCTTGCGATATTGGGATTTTTGATAAATCTGGCACGGTGTCAGTGATCGAGACTGTACATGGTGTCTGTACAAGATTATGAGCAGGTTCGGCGCGCCTAGGGATGTCTGCAAAGCTGAGACTTTTCTTTTCTTTTATCGCTACTGGGGATAATGGAGTCGGCTGGTGGGTCGAATTGCAAGCTTGGACGACGAGAGATTTTAGAACTTGGTATTCTTCAAGGAAGACTATTAACTCTGTGCAGAAGCATGCTGCCACGCATTCTATTAGAAACGTTTCGAATTAGCATGGAATTAAAACAGACAAGGCATATAGGAATATAGATACGTGTATTCCCCTCCCCTCCCTCTTAATCCATTTAAATTACCTTTGTATAGCGGAAACAAATCAGGGTCTTCCAATACTGCAACAAAATTCCGATATTTTGAAGATGCGTCTGGTTTTAGCTCGACAGTTTCTTTCTTTTTAAACGACCGCACCAGTGGCGTAGTAATAGATATCGTGTGCCAGAGCATAAAGAAAATCCATGAAAACATGAAGCTACCAAAATATTCACGCACTGCTGTAGCAACTTTTTCTAAAACGAAATATCCTACACACGCGGCCGCTCCGCACACCATTGCTATATACAATTCTCTCTTCAAGCCGAAAGCGTCTCGGATGTCGTGAAGTAAATAACAAAGGAAGGGACATATGATTAAAAGAAAAGTTACGATGACAGTGGTGATTGGAACCGATCTAATTGCGGTAAAGAGGTTAGATATTGAGCTTTAGTCACAAAAATGATTAAAGATACTTGGATACGTACGAAATAGTAGTCGTTGGACAAACAGTATGAACCGCTTTAAAACCGAGTTCGGGCGAAAAAGCTTGCACGATTAAAGCCATAGCAATGGAAAAGGCGACTACTGGATAGATGATCCTTTCCGCCAACCATTTATCGGTTGCTGCATGTCTCCATTTTCTTACTCTTTTCAGTATCAAAGGCTCTTCCTCTTTATCACTCACATCCAATCTATACATTTTGCTGCCCCCGATTGCTCGCTTTTTCCCGTCCCGTAAGGTCGCAACCGTGCCCTCATATGCATTATTTCTATATACAGTATTCATTTGTAACTTTGCCAAGTTGAACCTAGCAGTCCATACGAATGAAAGCGCGCGACAAGCGATGGCAGAGCACCATAAACAATATCCAATATGGACCGGCCAATGGATGAGGAGACAGGGATAATCGTTCGGATAGAATGCAGTTCGTAGACAATACATTACGCATAGCATGATTGTTGCAAAGGCGCTTAAGAGATTTAAGCGAAGAGGGCGATATTTGAAATCATCTATCTTGTGTCGGCGGATATAAAAGAACGTTACAGTGAGAGTGAGATAGAAGAATGTAAAGACAGCGAGAGAGATGTAAATGGCTAATCGCCATGTTGGGGGCATGTTGATAAAGGATGGGAAAAAAACGTGAATAGCGTTCCCAGTCGTGAATATTTAATTGTTTTTTCTTTCCCCAATTATTTTTATAATCTTTCACTCGTGGTTACTCTCGGCAGTCGTTTATCTTTTTGGATTAAATATGAGACGTCCCTTATGTATAATCGACATCGGAACGTGTGATTCTTTATTAGTAATCTGCAATTCTGACTTTGGGAACATATATTATTATGTTTACTTGCTGATCTATAAAAAACTATTGTCGTAGCAGTTTGTCATAGCAATATATTTAATGTCTCTCACATTGATAATCTGTATCCTTTTCTGTGCATATTTAATGAAGCCTGCGGTTCGACAGATCGATCGTAGGATACTTGCATTCGTCTATTGCTATTGGTTTACTATTCTTCCTAATTAATTGAGGGACAGCATTGATTGGATAGATAGTACGCTGATCTTTGCAAAGGCAACACTTACGGCAGCAGTAGCAGTTTACATAGTACATATTGAAGAACGTTCCATTTACCATGTATCTCGTATTATTATTATTTTCAACTTATTTAGAGTTCCCCGACTAATTCCTCGAAAATCGCACAAATTTCTCGTTTAGTAAACTCCGGCACAGGTTTATTCCTTGCAGATCATATTATTGTGTTACGGCCATACGATTCAGATTGGTTCGCATACTTGCCGTAATCGCTTATAATATTTCATAATAACAAGTCTAGAATCGCTCTCTGTAACAGAATAATAACCCCTGAATAATACCAGAGACAACGGTAAGTTTATAGGGATAGGGATAACTTCTTCATCTATTAACAACTATTGAAACGAGGATTATACTCTACCTGAATGAATTATTTTTGTATCGAGCCGCCAGCCCCGATACAAGTTGAAACCAGGATAAGTGACATCGATGCTATCTGCTTTTAGAGCATCTCCTTAAAATGATGCGAGTACCGTGTACTCACGCAGTAGTTACCGCCATTAAGATATTGGAATCTGGGTAATCTTATAAGCATGCTGCAACAAATTGGACATTTGATCAGGGTCTACGTGAGACCACAACAGCTAATCATGACTGACACATTTTCAAGTAAACTAACCGAATGAGCAATCTTTGAATCATGGGAAAATTACGCCGAAAATTACACCAATAATTGACTTGTGCAGAAAGGTTTCAGTTATGGGTGTTCCGATACAGAATAAAATGTTAAAGTTGAACAGCATATTCTTTGTTTAATATTAATTGACAGATAAGAAGAGTCGCACATAGTGTCAAGCTGCAGAGTCGGCCATCTTTTGAAGATGAACGAGAAACAAAAGTACACATCTACAAAGTGTGACCTCGAAAATTACCACTCCCTCACTTATTACGTATACGATTAGTATGTGCATTGCATGGTTTCATAAAACTCATTAGCGAACAACTTTATCGCATTATATAGACACAATTTATGTTAATCAGACTTGGCGTACTACATGATAGGCAGGGAGTTCACAATCATGTTATCACAATGCAAACTGCATTCTCACAAACATAATGGCCCAATGATTATAAACAACGTGTGGATACAATAATAGTATAGAACAACTGTAAATATCACAGCATCTCATTTACAATAGGAATGAATTAGTATTAGGATATGCTAAGGCCATTGATTCACCGAGATGAGCATGCATGATAGTGCCTGAGATGCAGCAGCAAATGTAGAGTTTTTTGAGATCATGTAGGTAATAATTAGTCCTTTTGCAACAATCTTATGCCAAGAGCTCGTACTTAGTATTAGTTTTCTTGCCGCAAATGTTTGCTAAGCAACAAACAACTGTAAGTGACTAAGTGATGTTCGTCCTACATCACATACAGTAATATACCCCATAACCAATAGCTTAAAAACTTGAACTTATTTCTTCTCCCCAAAATATACGCACAATGCGCGAAAAAAAGTTTTTGTAATAAAATGCATAAACTCTATTTTCTTCCAAAATACGCGTCTAATCAAAAAGTCAACTAGTGCGTTTTGTGCATTCTATGTTTATGCATGTAACACCGGCAAAAAAACCCGACCGCATAACCCCGTAACTTTGCGTTATTTGTTTTATTTGTTTACACTTTTCGTTTTGTTATTAAACATACAACAAGGTTTTTATTGGCCGATGTCGCACGATTATAACCACTCCGTAAGCAAAATGATACTCAAGAAGCCTACACTTTACATAAATTGACTTTTATTTCGTCTTCTAAAGATATGATATTAAAAAATAAAAGTCTTTCGGAAAAAGCACTGATGTTAATTTGATTCAAAGCATGCCGTCAAATAATGAACGGGAATGGTTTAAGTAAAGCTGTTGAGTAGCAATAGGTAAGTCAATGTGTTGTATTATGAAGAGCATATTTCATGTTTATCTGATCATTTCTCGTTGCACAATTAGTAACAATATTATTCCAAAAACATTTTTCGCGCACTGTATATTTAAAAACAATTCTGCTTAACGAAATACTTGCAAGACATCAAAAGAAACCTTTTGCGTTTCCATGCAGCGCACAGCATAACTCTTGACAACATTAATTATGGGATAACCGAAGCTCCTTTGAGCGCTCAGTAGTGTAAAATGGGAAATTATTATTTCCTTAATTATTGCACGACTGCAGTAGCACAAGTCATTTGAAATGTCTAATTTTAGATGCATATATTGTGATGTTGCAGGGTTTTACGATAAAATGACTTCACTTCAAGGAGATGCTACACTCGATTAGTAGAAATTAGACGTAATATTTCCCAAATGACTTATTATCCCATTAACTTAGTTATACGATGCAAATTAAAAGTTATTTACATTATCTCGACATGTATATAAACAGCGGTTGAATCCTGGCGATTCGAGATGTCCAGGAAATGTTCATATTATGAGGCATGTTCATGAGGCATGCTAGTAGACACGTCTTTTTATATGTATACAATAAAAATAATAAAGAAGAAAAAAGCAAGCAAGTTCTGCTTTTCTCTTATTATTGCGACCAATCGTTGGCGACTTGTTAGTACTTATCTACTAATAATCGATTAAATCTTCAAATAGTAAATTTGCTCAATATATACCCACGTCACAATCCCTCGTTAGCAACAGCAAACTACAGTGAGCGGTTACTTATAGCGGATATCTCTTTTACTTAACAATCACCATTGTGAATATAGTACTTCTATCGCCAATTGAGAAGTCCTGCAGATTTAGGTCATTAATTCGAATGTCTTAATATTAAGGCATTAGTAAACTGTAAAATTAAGGCTTGTCTCACCCAAGTAATATTATTGTTCAGCTGACTGATTATAACTGACAGTGGTTATAGTGTATAGCCAATATGTATCATGCTCTTGCCGAAAGAGGCAATGTTTGTGCCTAATACCTTCTTGGTATCTATTATAAAAATAAGATTGGGGGGGAAAGATTAATAAATGGTGTTTTCATGACATCTTAAAAGATACTATAGTGAAATGAGTTGTGTTATCATTATGACAGTGTCGAGTCAACAATCACGGGAGAGCAATTGACTATTGACTCTAGGAATCTAGTTAATTTCGATCAAAGTGTGGCTCTCCTACTTTTAGTTAAATAAAATTTACAGTTAGTGACCTTTAACACTAGGCTTTTCTACTCACGAGATGCATAAATACTAATCCTGAATAATTAATTCGTTCTCAGTTCTCTACGTTGGGATTAATTCGGCAGTCTACCGTTGGGGTATTGGTATTTATGACTATAACAAACGCGTTTAAGAGTAAACAATTAATTATCGCAATCGCAATCGCCACGGAAATAATCGCGGGACAAGTAGCGATTATTCTTTTCCAATATAGGAATTTAGTGGTTCAACGGTTATATCGAATAATTTTGGGAATAAGATATCAAACGTGTATTCTCAAAGTAACAATTACTTGTGGAGTTCTGCACGGTGGACGACCCGAACATATGCGAAAATTTTTGGATTACGTGCCTTTCTTCCTCGAATTCGTCCCAATGCGATTTTTATCTTTGTACTGAAACGCCGTCAGTTTCCATCAATAAGGCACAAGGTCAAACTTTTAAATTACGTAGGAATTTATTTGTCGACTTCAGTATTTTCTCATGGCCAACTTTATGTTGCTAGGCAAACCTTAAGATTCTAATAACTGAAACGGGGTGTACGCGAAACATTGCATATCCAGAGGTGTTACAATAGGTGTAGGCTGTTTTTACGTCGAAATTAAGCAATTCTATTTAGAATTAGAATCTGAACATTTAACAACTTTGTCATTAAGACTTGATATTTAACCGAATAATAAATTTATATGTTTTATATAATATAATAATAAGAGGAATGATTATAGTTTATTTTCGTCATTATTGACGGTTACACACTACACGTATGCAGTTAGACCGTCAGGTTACAAGCTCGTATGAATTAAAGAAATCAAAGTAATAAATCAAATGTTTCGAACACACTATTCTAGCTGAAATCTACACTGCTTGTATATCTTTCGAACAGATTAATTATTTTTAGCAACGCTTATTAATCATTTTATATCAGTATATATACTATGAGAGAGAAATACGTTCACCAAATTGTCGTAACCTCACAACAGTCATAACAGTATCACAATGGTAACATTGGAGAGATATTACTGTGGATATAACATCAGTAGATATGCAGCGCTATTGGAAAGATGTTAAAGTTTCAGCTAAGTTACTATGAATATATGCGTAAGACATTATTAAAATTCGATGGCAGACTCATTCTCAAATGGCAGACGCCTATCACTATTGCGAAATAATTTAATATTTTAGCTCTAATTTATTGGATAATCAACAGTTTTTAAAATTGTAGATTACGTATTTTAGATGGCGAGTTTCCTAAATATTTCTCGACGATTTATTTTGCAATGCGGAAACCAATTTTGAAAATTAATCAAATACTAGCCATTCATACCCTTCAGGCGTCATAAAAATTGAATCTTGGAGTTGATAACTAT